AAAATTGGATCCAGATTATCGACCAACGTTGGTCGGTAATCCAAAATTTTCTTGTCTGACCAGTTGGGTCAATTCGTTAACCAATTTACCGACCAACGTTGGTCGGTATTTAGTTTAAAAAAATATAAATTTTTTTTCCCAGTTTCCGTCCAACCTAGACGGTTTTTGGTCGCTTTTTTTGACCGACCAACGTTGGTCGGAAATATTTGGTCAGTTTTTAGCAGATTTTTAGTAGTGATTGGGGCTTTTGCGGAGAAGGTGAAGCAAATTTACTATATCAACCAAAATTAGGCCAAGGTGGAGATTTGTAAAAGGTGACCTTATTTTTAGGCTTTTTATTTGTGAGCCTTGTTGGCACATTTGGAGCCTTTTATTTAAGGCCTTGTTGGCCAAATAAATGGCCTTGTATTTTGAGAGGATGTGGCCAATTGTTGGCCAAGCATTTCTTTCCTCTCTTCCTATATAATAAGGACTCTCTACTCATTTGGAAACACACCAACAAGATTTGAGTCTTCATTTCTTGTTCTTTCCTTTCTTCCTTTATTAAGAGTGTTTTGTATGAGAGTTAGTGTTGGGAAGCACTTGTGTGAACCCTTTTTTTGAAGTGATCTTGTGAGTTTATTCTCTTAGGGTATTTGGATTAATTAGAGTGTTTACTCTAATTTTGTACTCTTATTCGTATAGTAAATTCCTCCTCTCCGCTTGTGGATGTAGGTCACTTTGACCGAACCACGTTAAATTTGTGTCTTTTTATCTACTTTAATTGTCGTTGTTATCAACTTCCATTGTCTTTGTTATTGCCATTATACCGTTGTTTGGCTAAATTCCGCACTACCCGGGTTCCCGATCCTAACATACACATATTAGATACGGTAAGAATCACTTAAGTTTTATTACGCTTATTGTAACTTATTAATGGAAATAATTTAATCATTTCAATAGATTTGGCTAAGGAACAAGCACAGATCTGTATTTGGTGTATAAATTTCATAAAATAATGTCATTGTCTCATAGTTGACTGGCAATCTTTAAGCTATAAATATTAGGTGATCGTCAAAACTAATGCAATAGTTGCTCTTTACTTACATTTTATGCTACAATCTGTGTATTTGCTGTCATTGTATGAGTTCTCTGATAGCATTCTTATTTTGGTAGCTATAAAGAATAGAGTACCTAATGATATTTTGTTTAAACAAAGGAGAACTTTGATGTAGCTGAAGTGCTTGACAATATGCTTAACAGGTGACAACATATTTTATGTGTTATATATATCTTTCTAAAGGATGTGTCATGTCTTCAATTGTTGTATGCATATTTCTCATAGTTGTCTCTCGAAGTATTCTGGGGTTTGTGGAAAATGGATATGTAGGTTCTGATGTGATTTTGTGAAAATATATAAAATTCCGTTGTCACTAATCAACATATCTCAACACTAGCAAAACTCTACTACTGCTTTGTTGCACCAATGGCAAAGCTGGTTGTTATGCTTTTGCCTTATTTGACTCTAATTTACGTTTCTCTTCATCATTTTGGGAATTATGTAGAGTATAATATGTATGAAGCCTATTGTTCGTATTAAGTATATCTAAATAGCAGATGATCAATTGATGACAAGCTGAGTTAAGTTTTTTTTTTTGGCCAACAATCTTTGGCTTATGTTGTGCCAATGGAATGGCTGACTCTTGCGGTTTTTCCTTATTTGGGCTCTAATGTAGATTTTTTTTTATCGTTCTGAAAAATATGTGGATGTTTTGTTCTTCTTCATTGTCCTTGGTATAATATTTGTCCAAACTTCTTATTGTAAAAAGCTTATGAGCTTTAGTTAGTAAATTATACAAAGAAAGCAATTCTATTGCTGTAAAATTTGAGACGAAGGATCGTTGGTTATTTAGTCAGGGTTTTTGTACTCATCATTAATCTCTCTTTTGATCTGTAATTTTATAGAAAGGTGACAAATTTGTAAAAAGAGTGGAGTTTTTGAACATAATTTTACGGTGCTAAATAGTTTATGATGGTTTTTACTTTCCAAAAAAGAGATTTTTTACCTTTATGTACAGTGTGCAAAATTTGAACAGAGAGAATAGTAGGTTATTTAGGGGGGAAATGAAACATATTACCCATGTAAAGTTTGGATATCATAAGACATTTATACTCTTAGTGTAGGAGAAACTATGTAAATAACAAAGAAAACATCCTAGAGCATATAGTCCCCATTCTATACATATTTAGTAGCTCCTTGGTACATTTATATCAACAATAGAATCATCTATAAACAAAGATGACAGGGATTATTTGTCATGTTAATACATTCTTTTTGACTGAAGTCAGTCATGTTAATACTAGAGTTAACATGAATTTCTTTTGCATGTTGGATAACTGATCACCTTGAATATTAATGTATTACCATGATAACAGTTTCTGTTAATTAGTGAATAAGGCAAAACATGCTTTATCTCCTATATTTTTTTCCTTTTTCGGAGTACAGTCGTTTATACTCCAGTATCTGTTGTGACCGAAACTGGGCTTCATGATTTTTATATGAAAAGTTTTAAGCTTTTTGTGCATTAGTTTTAGATTTTTGGTCAAGATTTTTTTTTTCATTATTTTTTATATTGGGTTTTCCGGAGAATATAATACATGTGTTTTTGTTGTATCATCAACATGGATTGTATATAAATCATATAATCTTGACTTGGAGGTGATAATTTTATTGAAAAAAGGTGCAGCCTTGAAATTACGTCTTTGCTCTTTATGTTTTGCTGTCATGTATCTATAGTATACTAAGTGTTATCTTTTGTTCCCTTTTAAATATTTGTAGAAAATAATATATACCAATGTTCATGTATGGTCTTTTGTCTTCGTTTCAAACTAATAAAAAATTCATTGTATTGTAGGTTGCAAAAGTGATTGGCTGACACTTATAAAACATAAATTTTTTCGTGAATGAATCGTCAACAAAAAAGAAAACAACCTTGCATAACAACAGAAACTCATGATAAGAATGCCAAGCGGCGTGAACTGTATCATGACATGGCCACAGTTGAAAAGAACGCACTTTTGCTGCAACGCCGCCTCAAAAAGAGAGAGGCAACAACTAATCGTCTTCTTGGAAGTAGAAAATCTATCAATCTTGCCGAATCAATGTCTGCAATTCAGGGAAATGTTATTGTTGGAGGCTCTTCTTCGATTTAAAAAATATGTTAGAATATCAAATTCATTATTCCTTATTTCCTCACATGCGTCTTCTGTATGAGTGTGTGTGCGCAGTGGTTACGCTCCTGCAATCTCTATGTTTACTAATTATATTTTACTACAGTTGCAACTGATTGTGAGGTTTTTACACCACCAAATGTGCTTGACAAAGGGAAAAATGTGATTCATCCTATTTCTATTTTTGAAAAGGGTAAGCCTCTAAATCTGTGTTTACCATTTATTTTTCTTCGGTTACTATGCGCAAACATTTAATCGGCAACTATCTTGAATTAGGTTCGACATCAAGTACTTCAGGTAAATCAAGTGCTCCAACTACTGAAACAGTTCAGGTCGATGGTTAGTATCAACAAAACACTTTAACTCTGTTGTTCCTTGTTTTCTTCTTTTCTATTCCTTAAGGCTGTTTGATATATGCAGGTCACGTGAAGAATAAAAGAAATATGACTAATATTATCCGATTATGCCTTGATTATGTGTCGTTAAAAAAAGTTCCAAACTGTAAATTCTGCTTGGCAAAAAAATTTCAATACGAATCACCTGGATTTTGCTGTGGCCGCGGTTTTAATTCGCCTTTGACCATCAAATAAAATGTGTGCAATTACTTGGTGAGCTTCGTCCGTCTGTTTTTGCTTCTCTTTATCCCAGCTTATCTGCACATGCTTGTGGTTGGTAATCTCAATTTTATTTTTCACAGTATCGCAAATATTGTTGGATTCAAATGTAGTTGCATGCGGCTTTTGGGTGCAAATTCAGCTACTACTGGATTTGGAATTGTATATGAAGTATTGAACCCGAACAAATCTGTACCTAATCCTATGTAACTCAGAATGGTTTCAATCTCCCCGGCTCTTCTTTTGTATGCCCTTATTACTTTAATTTTTTACATTCTTTATTTCCAATGCATGAGATCTATGTAACTGTTTGCAATACTTGATAACACCACTGATTCTAGCACTGTTAACAGAGATTCATCTCTTCAGAAGAGTAATACCAAGTCTCACCCTGTGGGTTGGTGGTTTGAGAAAGAGGAGGAGCGAGCTGAAAAGCAGCAGTGCGTTGTTGCTGCCTCAAAAATTCTCCACAACTTCTCTTTTATGCCAGATAATGAAGTCATCATGCGCCAGCATAAACATTGCTTAGGAACTCTATTCCAATGTCAGCCAAATTATGTTACAGGTATGAAAGAAGCTCTGTTTGATATTTATGATTTTTGTTTGTGCTTACAACCTTGATTTCTGTGAAGTGGGATATTTCTATTATGAAAAGTTATAATGTTTGACATATGTGATATCTGGTCCTTTTTTCCTTGAGTTGCCCTCATGGTTATAATTTGGCTAGATTTTGATATTATTTTTCTTCAAGTAATATTTCGGATACCGTTAAAGGAGATAAAGTTCATAAAATAATCTCCGATCATTAAGATAAGTTCATATTCCTAGCTCACTTTAAGCGTGTTTCACGTTATGGCAGTTCCAAATGAAACCTGACCTATGCAGGGTTCACTTGACTAGAAAGACGACAGGGATGAAGATGATAACAATGAGAAAGACAATAAAGATGACATGAGGGCCAAACAGAAGGTACTCTTGCTTGCGGAAGTGAAATTACTATTTTTTTATTCCTTATTTCAGTAATCACTGAATCCTCTATTTTACGCAGGGTACAACTCATGACTTACTATCTTTTGGTTGCGAATGCCATCTTTTCTTTTGACGGAATGTAGGTACATTGACGGGTAAGTCTATAGAGTTGGCAAAGATCTTCCAGAAGAGGAGGGTCAATATAGCGTGTGTCCAAGAGACAAGGTGGGAAGGGTCGAGGGCGAGGGACGCTGACGGGTATAAACTTTGGTACTCAGGAGTCCAGAAGGGTAAGAATGGAGTGGGTATCTTGGTGGATAGGGAACTTAGAGAGTTTGTGGTTGAGGTTAGATGAGTGAATGATAGATTGATGATTATTAAGTTGGTGGTTGGAGAGTGCACTCTAAACGTCGTTAGCACCTATGCGTCGCATGCAGGCCTAGATGAGGAGGTTAAACGGCGTTTCTGGGAGGGGTTAGATGAGATTGTGCGCCAGGTTCCGACTGCTGAGAAGCTATTCATACGAGGGGATTTCAATGGTCATATTGGGTCGATCGCATGTGGTTAAGGCGAGGTGCATGGAGGCTTCGGTTTTGGGGAGAGGAACGGAAGAGGTACCTCGTTGTTGGACTTCGCTAAGGCTTTTGGGTTGGTGATTGCGAACTCTACCTTTCCGAAAGGGAGGAGTATTTGGTTACTTTTCAAAATGCGGTGGCGAAGACTCAGATTGACTCTCTTCTCCTCAGGAGGTGTGACAAAGGGTTGTGCAAGGATTGCAAGGTGATTCCAGGTGATATACTCGCGACGCAACATGTACTCTTGGTGATGGACTTTGGTATTATGTTGAAGAGGAGGAAAAGGTCTGCTCGAGGAAGGCCGAGAATCAGGTGGAGAGCCTTAACTAAGGATAAAGCCCAAGAGTTGGAGGGGCGGTTGTCGGCTATGGGAGCTTGGAGGAGCAGTAGTGACGCGAGCACTATGTGGTCAATGACAGCAGACTGTGTAAGGGAGGCTGCGAGAGAGGTGTGAGGGGTCTCGACGAGCGTCGCTGGCGGGCACAAAGGAGACTCGTGGTGGAATGAAGTGGTCCAGGGTAAAGTGGAAGCGAAGAAGGCAACGTACCTGAAGTTAGTGGGGAGCATAGGTGAGGAGGAGAGGCGTGCGTTCATGGAGAGGTATAAGGTAGCTAGGAAGGAAGCTAAGCTGGCGGTCACGGAGGCTAAGACTGCAGCTTATGGTCGAATGTACGAGGAACTGGGGGAAAAAGGCGGGGAGAAGAAGCTATTCCGGCTAGCCAAGTTGAGAGAGAGGAAGGCTCGGGATTTGGACCAAGTGAGGTGCATCAAGGACGACGATGGTAGAGTATTGATGGAAGATTCCCAGATTAAGAAGAGATGGCAGACTTACTTTCATATACTTCTAAATGAAGAAGGGGATCGGGATATCGTGCTAGGTGAATTGGAGCATTCCGAGAGTCGCCGTGATTTTGGGTACTGCATGCGCATCAAGGTTGAGGAGGTCGTGGGAGCTATGAGTTAGATGAGAAAGGGCAGAGCGAGAGGGCATGACGAGATTCCGGTGGAATTTTGAAAGTATGTGGGGAGAGCAGGTTTGGAGTGGTTGACTGGGTTGTTCAATGTTATTTTTAAGGCGAAGAGGATGTCGGATTAGTGGAGGTGGAGTACGGTGGTTCCATTGTATAAGAACAAAGGTGATATCCAGAGTTGTAACAATTATAAAGGTATCAAATTACTGAGTCATACCATGAAAGTGTGGGAGATGGTGGTTGAAGCGAGGGTGAGGATGTCGGTGTCTGTTTCCGACAACCAGTTCGGGTTTATGCCGGGTTGTTCTACTACAGAACTATACACCTTGTTAGGCGGTTGGTGGAACAGTACAGAGATAGGAAAAAGGACATGCACATGATTTTTATTGACCTAGAGAAAGCATATGACAAGGTTCCTAGAGAAGTTCTATGGAGATGCTTGGAGGCAACAGGTGTGTCGGTTCCTTATATTATGGCGATTAAGGACATGTATGATGGGGCTAAGATACGGGTAAGGACAGTAGGAGGCGACTCTGAGCATTTTCCGGTTGTTATGGGGCTATACCAAGGCTCTGCGCTCAGTCTGTTCCTATTCGCCCTGGTGTTGGACGCGTTAACACACCATATTCAAGAGGAGGTGCCATGGTGCATGTTATTCGCCGATGACATAGTTCTGATTGATGAAACGCGAGCCGGTGTTAACGAGAGGCTGGAGGTTTGGAGACAGGCTCTTGAGTCTAAGGGTTTCAAGCTGAGCACGACGAAGACGGAATACCTGGAGTATAAGTTCGGCGCTGAGCCGGGGGAAGTGGGTGTAGATATGAGGCTTGACTCACAGGTCATCCCAAGTAAAGGCAGCTTCAAGTATCTTGGTTTGGTTATCCAGGGGGAGGGGAGATCGACGAGGATATCACACACCGTATTGGGATAGGATGGATGAAGTAAAGGTTAGCATCTAGAGTTATGTGTGACAAGAGAGTGCCACTAATACTCAAAGGTAAGTTTTATAAAGTGGTGGTTAGACCGGCCATGATGTACGGCGCTGAGTGTTGGGCTGTTAAGAACTCATATATCCATAAGATGAAAGTAGCAGAAATGAGGATGTTGAGGTGGATGTGCGGTCATATTAGGATGGATAAGATCAGGAATGATGATATCCTTAAGAAGGTGCGCGTGGCTCCCATTGATGACAAGATGCGGGAAGCGAGACTCAGATGGTTCGGGCATGTAAAGAGGAGGAGCCTAGATGCCCCAGTAAGGAGGTGTGAGCGGCTGGTTGTGGAGGGCACGAGAAGAGGTAGAGGGCGGCCGAAGAAGTATTGGGGAGAGGTGATCAGGCAGGACATGACGAGGCTTCAGATTTTCGAGGACATAGCACTTGATAGGAAGATGTGGAGGTCGAGTATTAGGGTTGTAGGTTAGGAGGTAGTTGAGTCTTGCCTTACTTCGTACCGTCGTGAGACTAGTCTGGTAGGGTTTTTGTCTAAGCTAGCTAGTGGCAATGTCGTGTCTTACTATTTTGCGTTTCAGTGCCGGACCTATTTACTAGCTATCGTTTTTGCTTTGTATCTTTCTTCTGGATTTCATGTTGTTCCTATTTTTCCTATGATTTCTGTGGTGATACTGATATTGTCTCCTTTTGTCTTTTTGTCCTCTTGAGCCGAGAGTCTTTCGGAAACAATCTCTCTACCTCTTCGGGGTAAGGGTAAGGTCTGCATACACGCTACACTCCCCAGACCACACTAATGGAATTTCAGTGGGTTGTTATATTTATATAAAAGTTGTTAGGCCTGGGCTGAGCCGGGGCAAACACCCACTAGTAATAGAAATATAGAAAAGTGTGAAAGGAAAGATCACTACCTTAAGGCTCTCAACAACGCCAGGAACAACCTCATGCTCAAGACCAGAATATTCACCCTCGGTGTTTTCCCTAATGACAACAATATCCACGTTGTCGTGGCGCGTGGGAAGGCCCTGCAAGTTGAAGCAGTGGACAAGGGAAGCATACAGATCGAGCTCTTTCCTAAGCTGAACGTTAATGGAGTTGACACCACCGCCAACGGGAGTCTTCAAGCCTCATTTAATACAGACCTTGTTTTTGCGGATGGAATCCATCACCTCACGAGGCATGATCTTCATGTAACCGTGACCCGTGAACATCAAAATGTTCGAAGTAAACGGGAGCGTACATTGCTTCCATGACTTGTTCGACGGCGCCGGTGACGAGAGGGCCAATTCCGTCGCTGGGAATAAGGGTGACAGCACGGGGAGTGCCATCTCTGGGTCGGGGCATATAAGTAATGGATCGGACGGAGGTGGAGGATTGGGCGAGAAAAGGATGGGCATCACATGTGGAAAAAGAGCGGGAGCTCAAGCAGAGGCAGACCTACGTTGGGAGGTGGGAGGTCACCGGAACCCGTTAGCCTCGGCAAAAATACAGTATATATATTTTATATATNTTGGTTTAAGAAAGTGCTCAAAGTGCCTTCACTTTCTTGATGTCCCAAGTTCGAATCCTATCTCCTACAACTTTTATAATTCTATTTTACTTTTACTTTGTTTTTAATTCAATTATTGTTTAATTACTTAGTAGTCAACCAGTTATAGTTTTATATCCTTTTCTGAATTCAATTATAATTTGATACTTCTACATAATAATAAACTTAATACTTAATTAACCTTTTTTTTTCTCAAATCCCCGACTCATTCAAAAGTCCGAATATTTATTAGCCTCCCCCTCCACAAATAGAGTAGCAAACTCTTCTGCCTCCCTTCAATTTAGTTAATTCTTTTTCAGTTCTCTGCATCTCTTCTAAATCCGATAGCCCTATTAGGTGTCGACAACGATGACTGATTTTGAGTCTCTTCTTCTTTGATTTTATTTGAGTCCGTTTTTTTCTTTTGAAAATATTACCTTAGTAAAATAATGTGCTACAAACTTTTTCTTTTCCGAAAAGATTCTTAGAGCTAGAAAGATATTATAAATATTTGCTTTTTCGATTTATGTAAATTATACCTAGATTAGCATTTGACTCTTGCATCACTTTGAGGAGAAAATGTTAAATTATATTTCAGGTATGTAATATATTGTTAGTTAAGGAGTAAAGATTTTTATTGATTCAATATTAATTTAGTCATATTGCTTACATATGAATGGTCAATTGGAGCCGTAGATTATTGAAATAGTCTACCTAAAAAGCGAAAATAGAAGAAAGATACTTCTTTAATTGAGAAGGAAGGATCCTTTTTTGATTGAGAAGAAATATCCTTTGGTGATTGAAGAAAATGTTATTTTGCTTGGAATCGTTATTTTTAGGGAGTTCTTGTTCTTGTGAATTTAGATGACGTATTCTTGGCGAAGTTTAATTATTTTCAATCAAGTTCTTGGTTTAAGAGACAATGCCTCTCATTTTATAGATGAGTTTGACGTGGAATCACATAATCCCGACCTTGATATGAGTGGACGATGTACTTATTTTATATTAGTACCAAATTAATGATATTCGATAATATCGAAGTTTGTATTTTGATGATAGTTATTATGATCATTAAGTTTTTATAGACTTGAACACTGAACTTTATCGCTAACTAGTACTTGGTATACTAAAGATGGTGCCCTCCGCTATACTCAAGTCCTGGGTCCGCCTCTGAGCTCAAGAGGTGTTTGAGAATAGGTACGGTTTGTCTCGCCATCAATTTACGATTTGGATTGATGACAAGAGAGGTGTTTGAGGGGTTGCTGTTCAGGAGACGAATACACAAGCGGCCATGAATTGAGAAGAGAGGGGAGGGGCAGCCTCACGAATGTTTAAAAAAATAAAAAGGTGACAAAGTTAACTGGAATGTTCTTGTTCTTTTTTTCTCCCCGTTTTGGTACTACTCCTCCTATAGTCAAAATTTAACAAAATAAGAGATACTTTAAAATCTTGTGATCTTAAACTAACTTGTTTTGATTGTTACTTAAATTTTATTATATCGTTAAATCTGTCTTTACATAACGACGAAAAATATCACTTTATGGAACGGCCGATTTGGTGTGGTCGCGTCGTTCCCTTTTCTTTTTTTTCCTTCTTTTGCCACATATTACGTTTAACAGGGCGTGAATTTGGTGCCAATTGGAACTACTCGCCTTATCCTGGAAAATGATGGGGTTAGAATAGGATAGAGAAAGCATCTAACAACAATTTATCTTGAATTTTCTGAAATAAAATTTATATACGTAGTACTAAAATATTAAAGCTCACAATTCTTTTATACTGTTTGACAAAATCGGAATCAGGGAAAAAATTATTTCGTACTACATATAAGTGATTATGTCATAAAATGGAAGAGAAAAGAACTACCACTGTATCTTATATTTTGCTATTTCTCTGTGCTTGTTCTGATAAAAATGAGAGAACAGTTTATTTGTGCCTCCAATTTATTACCATAGTTGAGATCTTGAAAGCATTAAGGGAAAATTATACGGCCAACGGTCGCAAATAAGTAAATGGATGAGTTTTTAAACAACAACAACGACCCAGTGTATCCTGGACGGGAAGCTGATGAGTTTTTGAATGCTTGGATGAATAAACTCTACACAGTGCCAAAGCATGGCGTCTCCTAATTTTTGTCATTTGTGATGAGAACAAGAAACTCTTTTAATGTCTAATTTGTTATTAATCTGTATTCCTAAAATAAATTATGAAAACAGAAACAACCAAAAAGAAAAATGTAGTAGAAGCAGAATTATATTCGAATCCACTGTATTCACAGTATTTTTTTAAGGAATTTAATCATCTCCTAGTACCCGAGATTTAGGA